TCTTCAAACAAAAATTAAGAGCGATACAAAGTGCACTTTTGGCGAACAAACTGTAAAATTAAGTGATATTAATTGAATGAAGTTAGTTATTTTTGACGATTGATAGAATAATTTTTACTTCATTATTCTTTAAAGCTCATTCTACATTATGCTAACATTTGTTCTCTATTATGTCTTCTTCACAATACATTTGTAAAGTTGCAGATAGAAAATCTGGGATAACGGGGAAACCAACTTTTGTGTTGACTGTCAGATTGTAACTGACAGACTGTCAAAATTTGCAGAGATTTACGTTTCTTACCTGATGTGAAATTAATACGGTAGTATGTCCAAAGAATACCTGTGGTATTTTAACACTTTTTTTTTCGAATAGGCTTGACAGTTTGTGAAAGGTCGAAGACTTTATAATTTTTCGTTTGAAATCTTTTACTCGTATTGTATTGTTGGCTTTGTATAAATATATTACGTAAATAGTGGTGCTATTTCTCGAGAGACTATTCAAATTAACCGGAAAAGGTCCTTATGAATAATATCTCATTTCTCAAAGGATGCGAACTTATACCTGATTTTTTTTGTAAAGTAAATATTTCGTGACAGGTCCAGGTCAAATTTAAATGGCTTAATAAAAGATTCTGTTTCTTTAAAAAACAAAAACTCGGAAAAACGTTCACAGTCACAAAAATAGTCAGATCACTTTATGTAATTGTTTCCGCTCGTTGCGTTTACGAGAATAAAGTCTGACCTCAAACGGGACAGATTTAGAAGACGATTACTAGAAATCTCTCTTAGGTAAGGTCATTTGAATCGTCACTCCTCTTTCAAGTTGCACCATCAACTCTCTACTTCCGAGCGGGATGTACGCTTTACTCGCGTATATATATAAGATCGCGGGAATAAGATTTCAGGCCAACATTAAGACCACCGCCGACGCCAAGCGAAAGAGCTGCCGGCACGAAAACGAAAGGTGACTAATTAACCGCGCCCGGTCGAACCGGTCGGGGTCCGTGTTTCACTCGACTGCTCGCCCATCAAACGTTTTCCCCGTGTTCCGGTTCAGGGTCGTCGAGTATCGTTCCGATCGATTACCGACAGAGATTCGTTCCGAGGGGGTGGGACGGGGGATTACAACCGCAGCGGCGTGGCGGTTCGCCTATCTTCCGATCGGCAACTCCTCGAGAGTTCTGTTATGCCACGCTCGAGCAAGTACGGTCAGCGAATTTCACGACGAGACCCGACTTTTGCACATTCAGCCTCTCTTTCGTGACACGACTGTGTGTACAAATTAATATTTGAAATGTAAATGTCTCCCCGACCGGTCGGAGAATGTCATTCCAGTCTTTATCTTTTACGCTGACCCATTTTTATCATGCGGTGCTCTTTCAATCTCCATATTGGACTCGGAGGGTAATAATATAATAAACAGCGTCGTATAAATAAAATTCACTCTAATTTTATAACTCGATGTGTAAATGTCACATACATATAATCAAATTACGAACTTTGTTATTCTCTTTTGTACGTATTATATATATTCGTGTCGCGCGTGCAATACGTCATTACACGTTCCGATTTAATTATACTGTTACAGATAGAGAGAGAGGAGTGAAAACATCTTTCGATGGAACAATTGTGGAAATATGTTGTAGAGAAAATTGCCGGCGCGTGACGTTTTATAGAGAGAGAGAGAGAGAGAGAGAGAGAGAGATTTTCAGAAATTTAACTTGCCAAAATATGCGCGGGTTACTTGCTCGTGGTAAACAGAAATGCAAATTTCCTGCGCGTCAATCGAGGAGAAGCGACGGGGATTCCCGCGGAGAGGAGAGAAAATCCGTTTCGTTCCGGGTTGTCTGCCCCGAAATATCGGTCGCCGCGCATCACGTCATATTCGATGTAATGAATTCCGTTTAATTACACGCGATGACGTGTACATCGGCGCGGATGGTATAGATCACCACGACGAGGACTGACGTCGCGTCCGGACGTTATGCAACAGCCTTGACGACATTGCGAATCGAAACCTGTTTGCAAACATCACGCGCGTCTCTTTCTCGTGCGCGTCTCACTCGCGGATAAATTATTGGACCCTGGATTGTGAGTAATCGCTTGTTCATTAATCCCCCCCCCCCCTCCCTTGTTGTGTCTATTGATTCTCTATCTATCGATTCTGGTCGTATCAATGCGGAATATAAATAAACCAAGTCTGCGATTTATTTATTTCCTTTTCTTTTCTTTTTTTTTTAAATACGATGTATCTAAAATGATGATTTCCATCATTAAAATTTATATCTATATATACGAAGAGTTTTTGCATTCTTAAAAGAAATGCATTCCATCAGCTCATTAATAAAATTGCACTTTATCACTTTTTTTATACAGAAGACTTGAATAAATAGAAGTTATCTCAGATAAAATTCTTACGAAGCGCAATAATAAAAAAAAGTATCCACATCTAAAGCAGACGCTTAAAGGCACGATAATACAGAAACGCAACGATAACAGACACTTTAGATAAATATTGTGAAAATAACTCTTTAAACTTTGTCGATATCTTACATCGTGCGCCGCGATGTATTTTCCAGAACGTATAATAGATAACCGCGAGTTGTAAATGTCTGGAAGTTTTATCGCGAGGTCAAAGCGCGATTCCACCACGATATTCGAGGATCGACCTTGAGTGATTTCTGTTCGCCGGTCCATCGTCTCGTCGACGATAATTTTTTTCACATCTTCCCAGTAATATTTATTCTGTCTTTCCCCAAATCTGAAGCAATCGTATTTCCTACGAACGGCTTAGAGTAATCAAACGATAAGGAATATGACGTACAAGTCGCAAAGTAAAACAATATATTATCGTCTTTAGAAGACTCTGGCGCTCTTTTCGAGCGTCTGATATTCTTCGGTTCGGTAAACAAAGTTTTATGTAAACACGTGTGTTTGAAGATAAAACTTACGGTTAACAAGTAAAATTATGTTATCGGTGCCTCGAATTGAGATACGGGCAACGAAAGAAAAGGAGTTGTATTATATAATAACAAATACCGCGGCGCGGCGTGTACGTGTGCGTGACACAGAAAGGATTATTGTAGAAACGTCTATCTTTACTACGTGCATCCGCGGTCGTTCACCTCGGCGCGAAGTCAAGTGCATTAATGCGTCGGAACTCGATCGCGACGGTTCCGATTAAACGAACCGGTCGACAAGTTCCTTTTCTGCGTATCGCTACCCGTGCAAACGCGCATCGCTCGATTATACCACTGTTTATCCTACGCCGCTCTAATTCCGCCGCTCATCTCGGCGGCGGCCGCCGCCGCGGGCGGAACGCGAGTTCTATTTTCGCCGACGTAACAAATTGGCGCCCCGCCACCGATCCTGCACCTGCAGCCACGCACCCGCGTGTGCGTGTGTGATCGCCGATCGCAATAATCACGACGCGCTCGTCCATCACCAGCGTGGGTACACATTACAGGGTGTTGTCACTTACATTGTATAGAAACGGTTTAGAATAATGAAAACCCATTCAGCACGAAATACGTACCTCGAAGAGCTGTACCCTGAGAATAATGTCTAGTTGAAAATGAAGATTCTCTAATTATGCACCGATCAACATTTTATTTATCTCAACGAGAATTGTAACTCTCAAAATTCTTTAGCGTGGAATTTCACTCTCTTTCAGAGTAACATTTACTCCAAATTTTCAAGAGAACAGATTCAATCGGAAAATTCCGGTTTGTCTATTTCCAATCAGACCTCCAATTAATACAACTCTATTTCCAGTGCACTTGAATGGTGAGCAGCCTCTTGAAATTATCGAATACATATTTCACGGTTGTCATGATTTTAAATCGTTTCCGGAATGTAGAAGACGACGACAGAGGCATCCTATAGCTGTATGTGTAATAAATGTGATTCGCGCGCGACAGACCCTCGTAAAAAGCCGTTACTCCGTAAATCGTCGTCAACGATCGAAAGAGTGATCGCGGCGGCGAACCGTATTCCATAATTCCCACAATCGGCCCAGTTCTGCGCGGTGATCCATGAAGATTTGATCGACCCCAAAGGATTGCCGCGGGCGACACCTTGGCGTCGAAGCGAGCCGTTACGTTACGAGATAGGATTGTTAAAGCGACTAGTCACGCGTTCGATAATATCTTGACTCCGATTCTCACTTTTGCCGATCGCTAGAGGTTTATGCCTAAAGCGGTGACCTCGGCACGAAAGAGTCATATACGTAATGTTCGAATTCCTCAGGTACATACGTGGAAAAAAAAAAACCGACTTTGTTAAAGTGGCTAGATACAACGCACTGAAAATAATTTTGTCGGACTATCTCAAAGTAATCACGTATATATATATGTATACGGAATTTATTTTCCATTATTGAAGATTATAAAATTGGTCGAAGAAGACTGTATGTAATAAGCAAATCAAATTTGTTGTCGAAATGTTTTTTGAAATATTTGAAGTAATTATCATTTCAGTATAGAGTATATGTATTTTTCTATGTGGTAGGACTCGAGAGCTGGTTGTTAGAGTGTCAAAACTTTTTAAAGCATTATTTATCGTGTGCTTGAGTTATTTACATAATTGTTTTAACTAGTAGTTTAACGAAATCATTTTGAAAATTGTATCTACCTAAATTTTTTAGACACCAACGAAAATAACTCGTTCTTTTCGTGTATTTGAACGATTCTGAACGAGAGAGAATTAAGCAAGTGGAGAACCAATATCTCGACATCTGTAGAAGTGTCGCTCGGCTTCTTAATGACCTTTCGACACTTCTGTTGACTTTTCACATCGTTCGAAAATCACTCGAAAGACTCGAGTTCCCATACGCGATAGAATATCGCTGCGTAATTTCCGCGCGCGGAAAGCGCCGAAAGTGGAGCCCTTGACGGCGATCGCATCTGTTCTGCGTTATCTCCGCCAGCGAGATAAATCAAACCTATATATATCTCTCTCTCTCTCTCTCTGGAAAAAGAAAGAAACATGATATCGCACACTTACAAGGCTAACGCGGTCGCCGGATTTCCTACGTCACCGGCTATAAAGCCACTCTGCTGAACGATGGATTGATGGTGATGATGATGATGATGATGCGGTTGCGGCGGTGGCTGTTGCTGCTGCGGTGGTTGCTGATGATGATGATGATGATGCTGCTGAAAGCCCGGCTGGGTGGATGGCGTGCCGGCCGCCGGTATCAGATTATACGGTTGATAGAGCAGCTGCGGCTGTGCTTGCGTAGCTACGGCCGCAGCTGCGGCGCTACCGCCGCCGCCACCACCACCGGCGGCTGCGGCCGCTGCGGCCGCGAGGAGCACTTGCGTCTGTCCCTGGTGTACGTGGTGGCTGGCGTGATGATGACCGCCGTGGTGGTGGTGATGCGGTGGGTGGTGGTTGTGGTGGTGGTGATGGTGATGCGGGGTACCCTGCGTTGCCGTCTGCGGGCTTACCGGAAGGACCGCCATTGCCGCTCCTCCTAACACCGGTGGCATCCTGCTGCTGCTGTTACCACGTTCCAGCTTGTAGTCGTCGTCCACGCGTCCTCGTCCAACGTCCTCACGGACGCGGTCGCTGCCCTCTTCGTCTTCGTCGTTGCCGCTGTGGTAGCGCACGGTTCCCGCATCGCAGATGCTGACGCGATCAGGATCGCGGCGCGGCCGGAAACGTCGCGGGATCCTGGTCCCGCGATCGAATCTTTCCCCGCGGCCGCGCGCGTATCACGCGCGCGTGCAGCGATATCCTCCTTTGTTCGCCGGGCTGGAGCGACGAGCTGGAGCGCGTCGGGGAACACCTTCGCGCAGTGCGAGGATACCGTACGCGACGACGATTTAATCGGAGGGGGGGAGATCTCACTTTCGCAAAACGAGAAACACACCACTGACCCGGGGAGCACCCCGTCGCGCGTTACGCGACGACGACGAGTCGAGTTCGCCCCGTGTTTTACCGTGCCGCGGGGCGGGACGCGATCCAGGGGTACACGGAGATATATAGACGTGTGTAGGAGAGCGCTTATAACGACGGCGATCGCTCACGGAGATTGCCGAGCGCCCACGAAGCGCCCGCAGTCGTTGATCGACCGACGAACAATGGTTTGATCTCCCCTTTCTTCCTTCTTTCCGCGACACGCACAATCGGTGCACTTCTCTTTCACGTCACGCTACTTCATCCTTCGCTCTCTTTCTCCGCGCACACCAGGTACTTGTGCCGTGTTAAAAGAGGTGAGCGATACTGTGAGCAGACGCACAGTAAGATATGGATTTCCCCTCGAAACTCGCTACCTCTAAAAGTATCGGTGCTCTAACTCGCCCGCCTCGTTCAAGATCTGCAGAGCGCGTAGAGCTTTAAAGAAGCTCCCTTTTTGCCCCACCTCTTCCACCTTCACGGACTGCTCCTTTTCTCCCGAAAAGTTGAACGTTCGCCAGGGAGCACCGAAACGACGAGTGGTATCGCCCACGCGCGCGAAAAACAGCAGACCGTATTATATTATAATTCCTTTGCCACGAGACACAATTCCGGCACTACTCTACGTTCTCGGGTGACCTCCGCGCGCGGCGAACAATGGCGTTTGCCAACGAGGCAACGACGTCGACGTTGCGATCCTTTCCCAACGGCGGATTCCTCGGTAATCGCCGAGAAGCGATTTTTGCCCTCGACGTGCTATCGTCGAACGGAAAATAGAGCGATTGATGGTGATAACAACTGCATCTCTCCCTCCGTGTTTTTTTTATCGGGGTCCTCTCCTGTGTCGCGCAAACTATCTCTGCCAACTCTAGTGCTGTGTAATATTGTAAACTTCGAACTCCGAGTTTGAAATGACCTGACTGTACACTAACTCTATTCACTTTCCTTAGCACTTACAATATCCGTTCCGTGACCGATTACCGGGCGGAAGGGACGAGGTAACAATAGGCTATTTTGGAGACACATACACACTCGCACAGACAGACGGAAACACCGCACGCACGCACACTCGCGAAACGTCCAGTGAATCTTGTATGGCGCGAAAACGCGCGCGCGCGCGCGCTACGCGAGATAGAGGGATTGCGCGAGGAGGAAACACGTCGCTCACCCAGATCAGATCCCGCCAAAGGCCGCTACTCTACTGCGGCAGGCAGCTCGGCGAAGCGAACTCTCTCCCCCACCACGCCCACCCCGCGGATTCGCCCCGCGCCCCGCGCTGAGGCTACACGCGGATCCCCACCAGTCGTCGCGGCAGCAACCGCCTCCTCGTCGAGCTCTCCCTCTCCTTACCCCTCTCCTCTTTAAATCGTCCGCGGCATAGCCCCCTCCCCCTGCTCCCTCACGATGTCCTCCCACCGCTCGATCCCGTCGATGTGTATCCCTCGTGACCGAAGGCGACCGACCGAGCGCGGCCAACTCAAGCACGACTGCTCTCACCCCGCAGTCCGCTTACTCCGCTATAGCAGCCGCAAAAAATACTCCGCGTGCATTCACGCACATGTGCTTGCGCTCGCGCGCGAGCGAGCGAGCGAGCGAGCGAGCGAGCGAGCGTGTTCCTCTCCCGCTTATTTTTCTCTTCTCTTTTTTCCCTTTCATTTCGTCGTTTCTCCTCTCCTTTCCTCGCACTCGACCGCGAACGACGCGACGGCCAAATGACGAGACGCGACGGACTCCTCGCGTGTACGTTTGGAAGTCACTGCACTGCTGGCACTCGCGACGGTCCGTCGGTCTAATTACGAAGTATACGCGGTATAACACCGGATACGAGTATTAAGTTCGCGTTCGTAAAGGAACCCACGCTAATTATACGGAAAATTAGATCCTAGTGAAATGAATTATTAGTTTTCACATATGCATGCATAATGTAGCTTACACAATGTGAACGAATGATACGGGTCTCGATAATGAATTGTTTTTCAATTGTGACGTATGACTACAATTTTTACACCATATAGATAAAAAAATTATTCATTATCGATCATCCATGACAGCAGCTTTCGTTTATCGTAGTATTGTAGGTGCCGTTCGCAGTTGTACGGGAAACGCTATTAACGCTATTCGTGCCATTCTATCCTTGTTTTACAACTAATGAACTACAACGAAGATGTAATGACAAAAATAACGCTAATAGCGTCTCCCCGAACGCACCACCAAAGATACCATATATTTTATGTGAAAACTAATGTAAATCTACCACTTCGCAAAGACTAGAGTTACCAATGTTTTAAGAGTAGATATACATACCCTTTTTCAGATCGTATAAAACCTGTGGTTGTTTCAATTAAAAATTGTTTAAAAAATTATATATTTTGTTAAATACCTCTTTATCATCTCTTTTCATCTCGCGCGCGCGCGCGAACACATATACACATTTTATTCGTTTCTTATGCTAATATACGCGGTATACCTCTTCTAATTTTCCACATAATTATGCGAGGTCTTTATATCTTTTCATACATATATGTAATTGGCAATACACATAATAAATCTACATACGTTGAAATTAGTGTAAACAGATGAATTAATTAACGTATCGTTACCATTATCAATACTATTTACATTTCAAAGTGCATATTACACGGTCTTCATTTTCGTTCATATAATATGAAGGCCGTCGTTCGATTCCTTATATAGGAATAGAGATGGGACGGTGCCTGATGAAAATGAGTTAAAGGACAGTTTTTCGAAATCGGCGAGAGCAGGTATATACATATGTATATACCTGCTCTCGCAGATGTATTTCCCGGTTTCGAAAAACTGTCCTTTAACTCATTTTCATTATATAATAGGTACGCGGCAAGTGTAAATTCAAAGGTCTTGCCTGGCGAACTTCGGTAATAACGTGGCTTGGATTGTCGGCTCCTGGCAGGCGGGAACTCTAACGTGAACGAGGAGACTTGGTCAGCCTGCGAGCTCTTATTGGCGAAGTTTGATCGAACTAAAGTTGCTTGGCCCGCATCGAAATGAAGCGCTAGTCTCTCCTGAGATTACCAATTTCCGCCACAATGTAATTAGTATCTCGTAGACTCGTTATTTCTACGATGAATCTAGCGAAAGTTAATCCATAAAGTATCTAACTTTTAAATCTACGAAAGAAAATCGCGTTTTTTTTTTTCGGGCGTCGTGCTTCGCGTCAAGTTTTCCTAATGTTCGATCGACTGTTTTAATATTGCACCGTATTGCAGCATTACACAATCAACTTCTACATTTATACTTTCCTGAGTTGACGGTGAGTTTATTGGGACCCACTCAATTAAATTTCTTTATCAAAAGTGTCAATTTAATTAAGCGAAAGAGGTCGTATTCGATCAAAGCGGAAGTCTTGGTACCTAATAAATTCTTTGCAGTGCTTGAAAGATTTTTATTAGCATTAATAATATTAAATTAAAATTTAATTAAAAAGGCTTCTGTGAATAAAATTCAACAATTGAACAAAATGAAAGGCCAATGAGCCTAATTAAATATTTCTGCTAATGTCTATATTATGTTATATGTAAAATAGTATTACAAACATAAACGTTTAATATTAAATCGTCTATTTAATATTTGTGATATCACAACTCTCTCCAGTTTTAGTTCAAAACTGTTTCAAACCTAACAAATAGTCGGCGCGCAGTTTACTTTTATTAGAATTAGAAATTGTAAAATTCACACATTAATTAAACATCAAGACTTAGTTTGATTTTCTCTGTTTAATCATATTAAAAAATTCCTGTTCAATTTCCATTTAATACAATTCAATATTTTTCATATTACATTTTTTCAAATTTAAATTATTTATATTAAAGAGAGTAGGATTCATTAGTTTTTATACAAATTATGTCGTTGTGTTCAAAAGTAATTAATATAAATTAAATCGGTCTTATTACGGACCCACAGACCGTATAACTGTGTTATTTTTTACATCAGCTCCGAAAAGTTAAAGAAATATTTCCCATATAGAGAGAGAGAGAGAGAGAGAGAGAGAGAGAGAGAGAGAATTACAAATATCTTGTTTACTTTTTCTGAACGGCTATTTCCTAATTAAACAGAACGCTCGCGAAAACCAAATTCTCCATGTGATGTTCGAAACGACGCGACGGTGAGGCGGCCGATATCCCCCTCCCCCGTTAATATTTGCGATGCCGATAGCGGCGGATTTAACGGCGCGACGTACGGTATCGAGTTTTGATGCGAAAATACCGGGAATTTTCAATCTGTGGAAACGCGCTACGTGGTAGAACGAACGTGACGTATCGCGCTCGAGGTATCGCGAGTTTTGATTACTCGCCGACGAAATCGTCCGAGCGCGTGTGTTACATCTTCGCCTCGGATCTCGTATTTCCCACGAATGCCAACTTCTGTGTCGACGCGAAAGTATTCCGTTCAGGCGAGGATGTTTTTGAAGGGGAAAAAAAGAGGAAGAAGCAACAATATCGCCTTATGTGGTCACTGAATTACTTCTCTCGATAGTTTAATTAAACGTCTTTCTACACTTTGAGTAAATATCTCGTATCGAAACGGCGGGTCGATAAAGCGTGCACTTGTTACA